TGAACTCATAAAATAGACCCACTAGTGAATTCGGACCGTCGTATTATATAGATAATACCAAAAATATATGGACAGCAACACTAAAGGACTTCTCGGCCGGGAAACTAATCATAGGAGTTACTCTCAGGACAAAATACAGAATCTCAGAAACATGTTAAAAGATACTAGCTGAGAGTCATTTTCAAATGTTGGTTTGCAGGGATTTCCGCATGAGCTGACATCAGTTAGAGAACCGAAGGAAAACCTGGAAGTAATGAACAGCTGTTTCGTCCTAGTTTGAAATTGCTCAGCCGAATGCATCCACCAGAATTCGAACCTAGGACCTTCCGGTTACAAGATAGGTTGATAGACAATGAAGCCACTGGAAACCGATGCAATGGACCATGATTTTTTAACTCTTTTCCATTTGAGACATAGCTTGCTAATATAGTCAACGAGTATATGTCCTCACACCCTACCTGCTGCACCTTACGGGTTACGATTAATCCCTGTAATCTGTTTAGTGAGCAAGTTCTTGATGACACTATCACAAGCATAACTTGTCATATGAAGTTTTGTTTTGATACTTGTTGTGCAACATATAACCGCATCTGCTCCCTCCCAGCACAAAGAGATTTACCAAAATAAGAAAGATTATACCAAATGAATGATAATACTGGTTTTAAAGCCCGAACATTCTAATCAACTCGGAAATAAGCAGAATGAATATGACCTATAACAAAATCTTCCTATCATGCGCAACACACGCACACATGTGGAAACAATTCAAGGAAATTATTGGTGGAAAATAAATGAACCATGATATTACTTCACTTGCTGTTATTACGCCTAGTCAATACGTGATATGTAATCAAGCAGATTCTATGATTCTCGAAGCTGCAAGGGATTAGAATAATCGCTTCCCCAATTCTAATGTGAATCATGGTCTCAAATGTCTCAACTCTACATCTATTTTACTTACCGTAGCCAGTGTTTCTCAAGACACCAGTCTCTCTTCTTTTCTGGTTTCTCCCTTCTTACATGATCGCCTCATTCTAATAAAGCAAATTTCGTCTGGTATTTCACTATCTGATTGTTTCCACCTCAGTTTTCACATCCTCATCAGAGTGCTTCAAAAATGAATAGCTGTTCATCAAAATGAATCAGCCGTCATTGTCGAGTGATCTTAAGCAAAATCCCAGCTAATGTCAGATTGTTAATTTCACTTCCAGATACAAAGGTGATTTACATGAACTGATTCCTTCTCACGATTCCTGTATCACAGATGTCACTGTGGTTGAAATTAGTTCCAACGTTGAATACCTTGGATTGTGTATTTCTTTTGATCTTCTCTAGTCTTCCAACAACATGCTAATTTCTAAGAAGACATTTCATTTAACCCCTACATAAAAGTGTTGGACAATCTGCTTTTACTGTATGGGAATTCTTATACTCCACTATTCTTCTTCATTGCTCTTCTTAATCTTTTTAAGGTTAATTATGGAAGATTTTTTGCACTGCGAAGTCACTAGGCACTGTCGGTGATTCGAGTGGGTGGGGGTGAACGAACTTTTGTTATGGATAAACACTTGAACTTATCGAACTCTGATCATCATCTCTTGACAAAAATCTCTCCTTGCATCTCATCATCATATAACTAGAAGCAACCATAGAAGACTCTTTACTTGGACGACTAAAAGTAAAAGCTCTACGTTACCTTATTCGGAATTTATCTGCATGAATGGAAAAATGTTAGATAAGAAACTAATAACTTACAGCAGAACACTAAGCTGTTGGCCCTTATTATTTTTACTTTAATTATTACATTTTTGTTCATATTTCCAATAATTTTAATTTGACATTCTTAGTCTGATTTTCATTTGTATCAGTAAAGGTGTCCACAAAATTATTTTCCTCGTACTGAGTAATGTTATGTGAGGAAGAAATGATATCCACTCTTGTACTGCATGATAAGAATTCAGAATTTGCACGAAAAATACTGGTTGAAAGTAACCTAATATAATCATCAACATTATACTATGAGAAATTCAATTCACAGCAAATGACTAATTAATCCGGCAGTGCTGTTATTATTATTATTATATCTTTTAATTCCTAGAGGAACATAGAGCTTCAGCTGCGCGTCTCCATTGCGTTCGGTTTTCTGCCAACCTTTTCACCCCGCTCCAAGTCTGCCCATATGCTTTCATTTCCTCTTCATATGACCTCCTCGAAATCACCCTTGGACGACCACCTCGCCGCTTCCGGCTGCGCTGTTAACAAAACAAATAATTGTGAATGAAGTTTGAGATGAAACGTATACAGCCTTAATGAATAAATCTAGGCCTGGTAGAAATGAAAACAGAAACACTTGAGGCATTAAAACCCGTGTCCTGGTACACTAATAAACGGAATCGCGGGGTAGGGTGACAGACCTAGTAAGTGATACAGTTTGGTGTATTGAGATGTTAGTTGTGGTTATGAGCAATGATCTGTACTCATAACGTCACGCAGTTAATCAACTCTATGTCATACTTGAAATTCTCACCTAGCCTGGAGGTGTTTAAGCTTTGTGTGAATGCTGAAATATTGACTTCAGTCACAGATACTGTTATTGCATAAAAGATTTGTATCTCAATTTATATGATAAACCACCAAATGATATTTTGGTCTGATTAATAGAAATATACCTAAAATAGCCATTGAGTCATAAAGAAAGCAATAGACAATTCAATGCAGAAAATCTTTACCAACCAAATAATATTCAGATTCTGTACAATCATATTTATATTTGCAGAAAAGTTTTAGCAGTCTATTATTAAGTAATAGTTGCATTCAGAATCAAAGATGATATTTGAATTCCATATTCTAGATGTTTTGTTAAAGAGGATGTCTGGACGGTTCTCTTCGGAGATCGGTCTTAAGGAAGCTCACATGGAATGGTCTATACACAGATTTTTAAAGCTGGGTTACTTTGTCAAGGAAGAGAAATCTGATCCACTCCTTATATTCAGGAATATGAATGATATAACCGGTAGTAAGGTAGATGAAAAATTGCAGAGACTCAAAAAAGTCGTCATTGAAAATAAAAATTTTATAACTTTCATAGATAAAAACATAAAAGTAAAGCAAAAGCCTGAAAGAATCCAAACGGTACCAAAGAAACTGCCGTTTATGAATACTGAATTTAAATTTTGAGATTCTGAAGAACTTTTTATCTAGATATCTGAGGAAAGCTTTCTTTTCCGATGAGCTACGGATCAGTTTCTACAGTTAACTAATGATTGATGGATGTGTGAAGAATAAATTGTTCCCTTGATCCACTTCACTGTGTGTTTATGAATTCACTTGCTCCCATGGAGCTAGCTATATTGCCCACACAAAGTGCACACTTCCCAAACGCAACTCCGGTCATGGATAACAAGAGGATAATGTAAGAAAAACATCACCAGCTCATTTCTCTAGGACTTAGTCAACTCAGGCCACAAAGCTCCATTAGAGTCGTCTTTTAAGATTATCTACTAGGTGAAACCATATGGCATAAGGGATGTCAGGTTTCAGCATTTGTCTTTAGCCGAGGCACTGAAAATTCATCAATATTATCCCAATCTTTGTGCAAGAAAAACGTTTGTTCAGTTCCTCCTTATGCTGTGCCCTGAATCTCTTACCTAATGGTTGAATTTTAAGTCATTAATTCCCTGTTATCATTCTCACATGTTCTTTTTACATATATTCTCACCGTCTTTATACTTGTCAACTGGAAAATCAACTGCCTTCTCATTCAGTGACAATTCAAACCTTATCAAATTTCAAAGCATTCACTTTTAATTAATTATATCAACTGTGCCACCCGTATTACTTCTTGATCAAATACCGTACGATTTTGGCAGACATAAACATGAATGTGTGGCCTCTGAAGTTGATTTCTGCGATAAATAAAAATTTAATTACTAAATTATTGTTAATTTTCTTCCATACTGAAGTGGGTTTGTGGAAAAACGTCTACGTTAACGGTGTTGATATTCAATATAAGTTTTAAAGTATCTGCACCGAAAATCACCAAAGAACTCAAAGCGATTTATAACTGATTTATAGCGTTTTGTTTTGGTGTTCTCATAGAAAGTTTTGCAAAAGTCAGACTACACCTCAATTTCTAATATAATTTATATCAATAAACACCTTATGTTAACCAAAGTATTAAAAATACTACGAAATACGCCTCATTGCAGATATGATATCAGAAGAACTACAATCGAGTACAATGCTGTTAGTATCCACTATAAACTAAAGAGTTGCTAACTGAGTTATGTGTGTGACAGTATTATTTACTGGATGACGTTTCGAACACAATTTATTGTTCATAATCAATATTATTATTGTTCCCTTGGGTTCCTAGGGGAACACAGGGTTTCAACTACACGGTTTATAATCATATCGACTCTAAATTTCCGAAAAAATGCCAGTGTTTCCTATTCTAAACCTACACATCAGTCTCTGGATAGTTGGTATGCTCCATGTGGTGACACTAATGCAAAGAACTTCAACCATCCAGGTGCGCTATAGGAAACAAATCTGTCTTTACTTTTTACTTTTTGACATAAAGATGAATTTCGTCTGTCAGGTGAATCACTGTTATTGCAATGAGTTTCATGCAGCTGTTGTACAGACATACGAAAGTACACACATATACATGTACGGAAAATTATAAATAACGTCTTTATATCTGTCTGCCTCACTTACAGTTATGCAGTTCCATACAAAATATTTTCAAAACAATATTGGTCATCATCATAGCTCACTGACTATAAGTAGTTGCGTAAACATTCTGTCAGGGATACTGTTTATAATATCACATTACTCCAGCAAACAAAGTACACGAATAACTTCGAACTAATTCAGAATTCATGAATATTTAATTTTGAATTCTGTCACAATTTACAGCCAGTTCTCGTGCATTCATCCACAAGGGAATGAACTATGAATAATGTTCAAAATATAAAACATTTTTCGTTTCAAATTCCATGAATAACTACATTTGGATAGTGGCTTTATGTATCATGGTGATAAATGCTGTACAAAGAGATGGACAAAAGTTAGAAAGTGATGTGTTCTGTAAGTTCTATGGAAAGGACTGAAATTTATTTGATTAATTCTTGTCTTGAAGATATTTCACCTGTTTCATTTCAGACCTGGTTTAGGCAACATGTTAGAAATTATTTTGGTTTCCATTGAAAGTGAAACAATGTCAAAACTAGACTTTAAAATTTAAAATCTGAGATAAACTGAAGCCTTCACTTAGGCCTCATTGTGCTGAATCACTGGTGATCTTTGATATTATATATATATATATATATATATATATATATATATATTTGATTACAGCTTGATTCCACACTGTACTTTTGGTACAAGTATGGAATTTTCAGTATGGATATCGGTAGCCTAAATTTTGCAAGCCGATCATAGATATCTGGTGTGTGTCGGCAGGGGATCGAACCTCGGACCATGTGTATGATCGGTGAGAGTCCTAAACACTGTACCACCGACGCACATATATATATATGTAGTATGCATCGGTGGTCCACTAGTAGAATGGTTGGTAGCCACGCGTGTGGTCGAGGTTCAGTTCTTGGCCACTGCACTCTTAAACCTTGCTTAGCTGGCAGTAAGCTAAAAAGGAGACAAGGCAGAATTTGAGGCTAGCAACCTTATCCCACAATAAAAACACAAGCACCACGAAAACTTAAAGCTCCAAAGCTTGGACCCCTATATTTCACTGAGAACGAAAAGGAATGAAAATCTGAGGATAGTTCATGATATGCGAATTCAATAAAAATGCCAAACTCTTGGCCTGTTTTATTCCGTTCATACCTAACTATCACTAGACAATACACTGGAGTTAGTTGATTTTTAATGGTCAACTCATCACCTATCAGATGTTGCTAGAAAATTCATTTACCTATGGTTAATATATCTCCTAAAATATTTGCAAAATGTAGGCTCATACGCGAGTTTCATTCTCTTACTGCACATACTATCCGTCATAAATTACGAGACTACTCAGAGAATCTAATTCTCACAGAACTATCAGTAACAAATGAAATACTATTCAAATTGTGATTTGATCATTTTTGGTCTTCTTAGAAAGTACGCCTACGCACATAGTCTTCTGCGAGTTTGATGAGTGTCTGAATAATTTTCGTCACCAGTTACTGTGAGCTAGAAAGTAGGTAATCAGAAAATGACATGGGAAGTCAATTTAGCCTATATCCAAATCCATGATAGTGAGCTGCAAAATCTAATGTCATAATATCTAGGAGCAATTCTTCGTTACGACAATCCTAAAGTTGTGTTTCTGTTAAAATATCGTATTCTCCCTTATTTTATCAATACGTTTTTAGGCAGATGTACTAACAGATTTGATAACAGCATTCTATACAGAGACACACTAACGAATCCCATAAAATTGAAAAAACTAGATAATAAGAATAATTGTTGATTACTTAATACCCAGACTGATTTGCACACGTAACAAAACCTTCCGATGTGTTCTGCAATATGTGACACAGGGCAGAGTAGAACAGTCTTATAATCGGCTTGAAAACATCTCACAGTATAATCAGTCAGTACAGTTGGATATCATAAGTAATGCTTGAGCTTTTAAAAGCAATGCAGTCACAGGTGCTCTTATTTTTTTAGTGAAGGTCAAAGCAAATAAAGTGTACAGTTATTTTAGTATTTTCAATCTCACAAATTAAGGAAAACACCCGTTAGGATATTATAGGGATAAAAATGGAGTTCAGCAAAAGATATCATCTCTAAGATTTTATTTACTATAGGCGTACAATCTCAGTCTTATTCATTCGCGTTCTACATACAGCATAGTTATATGCATGAATTAATCAGTCAAAGGTGAAATGAAATGTCCAATTAGTAAATGCTTATAACAATGCTATCTTGTAGACTATAAACGTTTTAAAAATTGTGGCAGTGACTACTGAGAATGAAATCGTTGAAAAAGCATCTTGAACATAGCTTCTTATTTTCTGTTCATTTCCACATGCATCACTTGTAACTCATGCTTCCCTCAAATGCTCCTGCTCCCTGTAAATATTCCAGTATTAGGCGGCAAGCAGAAACTATACCACCAAGATAAATAATAACAGCTACTTCAGAGAATAGTTTTATTTGATGAAGGCATGCAATGATACACCTCGAGATGATATGATGAACAGCAAACTGTGTTGGAATGTCATCATTAAATCATGCTGTATAACTATTTAAATTTAACAAATAAAATTATGCTATACGGAAATGCTCAACTTCTACTCTAATAATAATAATAAAAGCCCCTTCTTTCCAGTGATACCTGAAGACTTTCCCCAATTTTTTTCTGTTTTAACACTGAAGGCTTATACGTTCATCTTATTTTTTAAATCTTTTATGCTTTCAATTTTTACAGTATGTTGTTGTTATAGGTATTAGGATCATTAACAACATATTCACCACAAAAGAATCTCCAGGTGTAGTAGTTTTCTTCTATTCCTCAAATTCTCTTGAAAGCTGTATGTGGGAGTGGCGAGAAAATAACTGCAGTGAGCTTACAACCGCAGTTCGGGAAACTTTGATTAACTAAGCAATAACAGTAACAATTTCATCGTTCAGAAAAGAAGAAGCAAAGTGGAGATTAGGACTCAGCCAGCTATGAAACCTGATCTATTTCTTTTTCGTTAGCTTTTGAGAATACCGTTTTGTTAAAAAAATAGAACATTTTTTAATAGTCTCGTGCCATAGACGGTTCAACAGCCCTTTTCTATAATAAGAATAAACTACTGATAGATATCATATAATGTTTTTAGGATTCTATTTTTCCACCGATATTTACGAAAATTCAATCCAAACGATTTAAACTTACAAGGCATACTGCAGATTTTTTAAGTACCCCTAAATGCATTAACTGTATTGACGTCAACATAACAGTTTACTATTTCTGTTCAGTCTGCCTATAGTTTGCTGACAGACAGAGCTTGAAAACTTATTTGCACACTACAATTACAACCTTATCGTTTAAGGAAACAGATAAAGCCAAAAATTGGCATTCATTCGTTCTAAATGATATCTGCAGCACCAGTTCTAAGAATTATATTCATTTCATTTATTAAAATTTCCAAATTAGAATATAATTTATTTGCTACTTATAAACAGAGTGACATTTTAAACAAATACTAGAAATCCAGTATAAAAACACTTACGCCAACTGTTGACAACTGCATTTACGTAGACTGTTTGGAAGTCGACTTGATGATCTTTAGTAAGTTACTGTTATCCCTACATTTATATAGATTACATAAAGTGTATAATCTTTGAAAGGGTATTAAGTTTCTTCATTCGGTAAACCAGCTATTTAATTGTGCACTACTGTTAGGCAACTAAACTGCCTCTGCACAACGCTTTCGGGGTAAAATTTTGTTATCATGTTGGACTAGTAGAGACGAACAACAGGAGGTCACAGGTTTTGTGAAATAGCAGCCGGCGCTTGTAGCAAAATTGTGGTTGTTGGGGCTCAACAACCTATCCAATAAGGTTTTGGCATTTTAAACTAATGTTGTTGAAGTTTAGTGTCATTCAAAACGCCATCACTTAGCGTAATACTGACACATCCAGCAAATACTCCCTAAATAAGAGGGAACGCGCATCATGGATTCCACTGCTGACCGTTATCCATCAATCAGTATAAAATTACATCACTATTGCTCATTAAATAGTATCTCTGTACACTCGAAATACAACTATAAATATGTACCTTCAATATTAAAATCTGATTTGCTATAAGTTGTTAAGATTAAGGTTGGGATTTGCAGGTTACAACAACAGTAATATCAAATACATACTGCACTACCTTCGATTTGTAGATAAATTCCCAATTTCATTCGAGAGATCCTGTATGGCGTTATGCATTAATTCTCCTATAACAAGAACCTGAGATTAAACATAAATATTTGAATTAAACAGGTTTTCAATGTCTACCATTTGTCTTTTTGTTCAATGAATACGTGTCCTTAAAGCCACTAAAAATAATTTATTTCAGATACCGTCAGTAAAAATTTACAATAGTTTAAAGACAGGAAATAGGTTATTTCTTAAGCGATACCCACTTACGTCCTCTTCAACAGTCGAACATAGAACCTTTAGGTTACAAGGACAGGTGGTCGACTAACCATCCACCTGGTTGAAATTCCCTAATGCCCTTTAGAGTGTACACTGCTGAAAGTCCGAAAATTAGGATTTCACATCTATGCAAAGCTTTCTACTTTTCAATGGCATTCTAAGTGATGTCCATTCATGAAGAAATCTATATTGAAATAGGTCATATACTTACAACTAGACACTTGAAAATTTTTTTCTCACCATGCTGTCCACGATTTCGACAGTCAAGTAAATGTGGAAACAAACTGTTATCAAATGACAATAATATACTTCTAACTAACTGACTCTGCTACAGTGTTGAACGGTATGAAATCAAAGTTGTAGATCTCTTTATATCCAGCTTATTGTGTATCAATTAAGACCTGAGATCTTGAAATGTAGACATTCAGTAATAGTCAACAGTTTTTGTCTTCATTAACACGTCTTATAGCTTCCTCTTAAATTACTTTGTGATTAAAAAGCTAATTGATAACAAGTATAAATACTAATATTCTCAAAACCTATTGCTACATTAGTGAGGATGTTTCATTTTTAATGAATAAAAGGTGAGTAAATTCAGAATATTTGTAACTTATTGTCTTAAAAAATACACATAATTCAGTTAAACAAATTTTCTGTAGTTTTTTTTGAAAACTAGTTACAACAGCGAGTAATGGCTTCACCTCTTTCTAATTAAAGTCAAGGCTTAAACAGAAAACCATTTCAAATTTCAAATCTTTACTTAGAACTACATTTTTCTTGACGACCATTTTATCAGGCACGTGGTGTAGGGTCCGACTTCCTCCTAAGCCTCACCTAGCTGTGAGTGAGTCCACTATAATGGTGATTGCAGTTGGAGAGTGAGGTTAGCAACCCCACCGCGTATAAACAATTCGAGCAGTACTTAAACTTTAAAGCTTAAGTTT